CATGCACAATACGCTGATACATGTGGGCCAGACGTTCGCGGGCCTGTCGCGAGCGCTGTCCGTGAACCAGGAGCAGGCCGCGGCCGCGCCGCCGCGCCTTCCACCGCCGCAACACAGACTCCAACGCTGCGCTGAACAAAACAGGACCGAGCATGCCCCCTCGACGCACGCCCCGGCGGAGAGGGGACAGCGCCTGTCCACAGACATTGCTGGACTGTCCAGAGCGCGGCCGCGCCGGCAGCGCGAGGTCGGACTCGCCGACCCCTTGAACCCGCAAAGCGTTAAGAGCGAGCTGCGACAAACTCTGTCAATGGCCGTCTCAAAATCGAGGCTGACGATCCAGGCCAGAACGTTCTACTCAGTCGACTTGCCGATGACGCACTCAAGCACCAGGAGGGCGCGATCGACGCCCGCCCCAGATGCAAGCCCCATTAGTTCGGACGATTGATCCTCATGGGCTTTGGCCGTTATTCAGCATCGTTTAAAACGCCCTGCGCGTGATGCCCAATGCTGCGATGGGCCACCACTCGTACGGGTCCGCCTGATCACCAGAGCCCAGCTTCGGGAGCGCGATGTGCAAGTGCGAGCTCCAATCTCCTGACAGGGCCGCCAATCACTTCGCCGCGCAGCGACGCGCCACCTGTCGCAGACAGCTCCATGGAGATACCCAGCTTGTCAGCGCGCCTGCCTGACAGCATTCTGAACGCCGACCTCAGCCCGACTGCGCCGAACTCCAGGGTCTGCGCACGTTGCGGGGCATCTCCGAGGTCGGGCGGCTGCTCGGCGCAAGAATACACAACCAAAAAATCGGCAAACTGACGATAGACATGTCTTCACAGCCTCGGCATCGACTATGCGGAGCTGGCCCAAGTCCCGAATTTCGAGAGGCGCTCCGTTGCGACGGGCCCGTCTGCCACTTTCTCGGGAGGCGCCTGGCATCCGCCGCGACGACGCTCACGAGGCCCGCCCATTCGCGGCGACCGCTGCAATCTCGCCACTTCTGCCCGAACTCTCCGAGCTCAACCGTGCCCCCCGCCGGCCTCGCCCGCAGTCGCGCGGCCCGCCGCGGTCGCGACAGGGGAATCAGCACGTGCTCGCACGCAATCGCGCAAGCCACGCAAGGACTTGATAAGCCCAGCCTCGACCGACTCCGCGACCGCTGGCCGGTGCAATTGTGACAGTTGGGAGCGCGCCTAAGGCGTCGCCCGCCGCGCCAGCTGCTGACTGTCGCGAAGAATAATGGCCGCCGAAACTATCGCGGCTCTATGATCAGAGTCGCAGCGCAATTCCGGGACAGGTCCTGCTCGTTGGGCCGCCAACGAGTTCTCTGCAGCAGCCAAAATGTCGCCTGCGTCCAAGCGTGCTCCAAACGATCCAACGCCTGCTGCGCGGCAAGTCCAACCAGCCCGGAAACGCCTCTACGCCGCGCTCAGAAACCAAGGCTTTCAGCACGACGCTGCGTCAACCAGCGCGCGCCGGAAAGTCAACGCCCCCTCCGGCGACAATGCGCCGTCCCGAAGTTCCCACCCCTCGTATCTGGCCATGCAAATCAGCATTAAGTGTCTGCTGAGCGCCGCGCCCATAGCCCCGACGAACGGAGAGCGCCGACGCGACTCGGAAGCTCACCCCGCGAACTTTCTCACATGCTGCCACCGTCCAGAAAGTAGACAATGACCACCGCGACAAATGATATCTCCTGTTGGAGCCAGCGTCTCAGACAAGCAAGCGGCATTCCACTGTGCGTTCTCAAGCTCGGCCAAAACAAACAGAATCCGACCTGCGACATGCATTCTCGAATTTTGCTTTACCACACCAGAATAGCCCCCCTGCGACAATCAGCGCCAGGACTCTGCGCTGATCGGGCTGCTCCCCAATGGGACTTTCGACCCCTGACCCTCGACCTTGCCCTAACCTTCGCAACGCTCGGCGACCGTCTTCCCGGCGCCCCCAGACAGCTTGTCATCGCTCTCTTGCAAAGTGTTGTTCCACCCCGCGCCCTGGAGGTAGTCCTGCCAGATGGCCGCGCGCCAGACTTTCAGGGCGCCCTCCGCCGCGGCTGCTTTGAGGGCCGTCTCGCTCTCCACGTGCAACTCGAGGGCATCGTCGCTCACCCACATCGACGCCTGCTCGTGGCCCCCCTGGGAGAGCATACGTCGGCTCCGAACATGGCTCGGGGAGTGGCTCGAAGTCTTAGAAGGCGGCTCCTCCTCGGCCCCTGCCCGCATCCCATCATTTGAGACTGCGCACTGCGGCAAATGCTGCGTCGTGGGCTTTTTGTATGAGGAATTCTGCCAGCAAAAGACCTTGAAAGTCGCCCTGTTCAATCCCCCGAAAGTCGGTCGTCGACCCGCGTAGATGCTGCCCCCGCGCCCCCCGAGCTTTTCCAGCCCGCCGAACCGAAGACGGCGAACAACTTGGCGTCGCTTGTGCTGGTCTGTATGAAGGTGCGCATCTGGGCCTCCGGCTGCGCGATCTGCCGCGCGAGGTCATGCTGTAGCTGCGTGTCTCGTGGGCACCCCTCCCTCCCAACTCCCGCGCGCGCTGCCGTTTCCTCGAACCTCGGGAGGCCCGCGCTCACAGCATACAGCGCATAGGGCGCACCGAACGGGTCGGCAAGCTGGCCCACTACGGACGCAGCCTCCGCTCGAGCCTACGGCCAGAGAAAAAAAATGAGAGATGGATCAACGATCGGGATCGCAGATCGGTCGGCCCGAGCAAGGGGCGCCTCCGATCAGGGACCCCCGACCCGCCCCACGATCGGGATCAGAAACTCCATGCCATCAACCTCCGAACAACATGCGCTGAATCCTTTCATCTTGACGTGCCTCACTATTTCGGGCCTCATACTACTGGCTGCGAGTGACCTTGCTCTTGCCCTCGCCGTTGTCCGTGGAGCCTGCTGGTATCCGAAGGTCCGCGTGGATCAACGCGCCGATGCACAGCAGCAGCTCGCTGAACGGTAGCAACTTTCTGAACATGATCAACTTGTTGTGGCAGGACTGGCTGTGGGCGCCTATGTGCACCATCAGGGACGCGCACCACATCTGGTCGATCGGTTCGCTCGTGAAGGTTCCCTGGAAATGCTGGCGGAGCGGCAACGTCGGCGCTCGCTGGCCTGTCTCCAGGCTGGGTTTCTGGAGCTGCCCCACCACTAGCAATACAGCTTCTGGAGCACCCGCAACTGCTGCTGCATACTGGACAGCAGCCTCAGCTCCACCATCATCCAGAAAAGGCCTCAGCGGAGCCGCGTGATGGCCAGGATCGGCCGGAGAAGACTCCAGGCCAAGATGTTCCGCATGACGGTGCGCAGCGGGATGATGAGCATACACACGACCAGGCATCGGCGCCCGGCAACCGCGATGAGGAACGCGCCGACATCCTTCGGCAGGCACTGCACCGCTCTCGCGCCAGCGCGCGTGCATGTTGCGCACGACGACGCTCCGCTGCCTCGCGGTGCGGGCGGCTCGCAGCCTATGGCGGGGGCATAACGAAGGCAGGGGTGGGGGCGGAGGCCGAGAGGGCAGCGGTGGGGGGGGGGGGGGCGCCTGGCGCTTGCTCGCAACACGCGGGGAGGTGCGATCTGAGCCAGCGTTCCTCGTTCAGCCCCGATCTTGCCCAGCAAATCAGCGTTCTTTTCTGCCATCCCGTCGGACACTTTGTCCATGATAGCTTCCGCCCTTGCTACGTCGTCCTGCAGCTCCCGTACTGTCAAAAACCGACCGAACTCGCTGATCGAACTTCTCGTCCAACACCTCCGCAATGGCACAGACGGTGACGGAATGGCTGTTGGCAGGCATCCGGAAGTGTGGAAACCGCCGGTTTCGCCTCCTCCTTCCCCTCGTCTCCGTCCGTCGTGCGCAGCAGGCTGAACAGCCGCGGGCGAACTTCCCGCTCGCGTCTCAAAGGCGTGCCCTGCTGACGCGCGGCACGAGGCCTGCTGCCGGCGCACGCACCGTCAGCCATTGCGCGCGCGCGCCGGGCGAAAAGGGGGCGGGCGAATCGAGCCGGAGGAGTTGGAAGGGAAAGGTTCGGCTTGAGCAAACATCGCTTGAGCCAAGACTCGAGCGCTTTGGGCTCAAGCCAAGACTTCCCCACAGGCGGGCGACGGGGCGGAACCCTGGCTAAGCCACCTGGCGCACGAGGCGCCCGCAGGCGCCCACGGGCGAGCACCAAGCGAAGCTCCAGCGGACACGCCCAGCGCAAGAGCCACTCACGGGCACCCGCGGGCGAGCACCAGGCAAAACATCGGCTGACACGTCCCATCCAAGTCCTGAAAAGAGCGGACGTGAGAACCCCTGAGTGCAAGCACTGTCTGGGGAATGAGTTTGCCTCTTCTCGCGGGCCGCGGGAGCGCACCTCAGAGGCCCTCGCGGGGCGTGCGAAGAGCCTCTTCGACGCTCTGGAGGCAACTGTTTGTGCCATCCGCATGCTATCCTGGCAATTTGGGGAACGTCTTCGAGCTCCCGAAGCCTCCTGGACGAGCCCGAGAGCGCTCACCCCGGGGATCTTCTGACCCGGGTCAATGCGAGCCCGGGTCCAATCGGGCCTTGCAGTGCAGAACCCTGCAAGATCCTGCAGGATCTGGCACCCAAACCCGTGTCAGTGCGAATGATCCTGCAGGATCCTGCAGGATCCTGCACCCAAACCTGGGTCAGCGCGACCCTGGCCCTGCAGGATCCTGCAAGATCCAGCGCTCTGGCTGACCCCCGTTAGCATTGACCCCCGTCTCAAGGCTCCCGACCACCCGAGCCCTGATGCTCTCCGGCACCCTCCAACGGAGCCCAAGTACTCCCATGGAGGTTTGGGGCCCCAGGGCCTGGTCCTCCCAGATAATTTCATCTTTTGAGAGTTTCACACACAACTATTTTTTTTATATATATATATACACACACACACACACACGCATTGAGAGAGAGAGAGGTGAGACATACAGATCGAGAACAAGAGGGGCATGAGAGCAAACGAACAGAGTGTGGAGAGGAGCAGAAAGAAGACCGCACTCCTCGTCCACAAGCTCGCCGTCCACAAGCTCGTCCATCTGCGAAATCATCTCGTCCAGAGCTTTGCCTTGCCGTCTGTTTTAGCGCGTCCTCATTCCATTTGCATCGTGCGCGCCTGTATTCTCCCTGCACTTCGAGTCCCACAAGCAAGAAGCGCACCCGCGCTTTGGTTCTGGTTCGTTGCCCCCCAATGGGGCGACCAGATCCTGCGCCCTGGGGCACTGCATCGGCGACGCTGGTGACGCACCATCGCCGTCGGCGTGGATAAAATCGGGCTGCACATCGAGCCGCATCGGCGATGCATCGGCGATGCGGCGCGATCCTCCGACCCCTTCTACTTCGATCCAATCTGGGAGGCCTAGACATCAACAAACACACAGACATTTCATCCCACTTGCACATCAGAACCGCAAGTCGTCCACCCACAATGCGATTTCACACCATGTTCAAACATGTTGGCTGAGTAGTGGCCACCAGTCAGCTGACGCCCCTCAGCCAGGGGCCCCTTGAACCACTGCAGAAAGGCGATCACCACGTCCCTCTCGATAGCAGGGCCCACGCCCCCCCTTTCCCCTCCCTCCCCTGAGACCCCGAAGCCGAAACAGACCCTGCGTGATCCCACCGCCCAGCGAAGCGAAGGCCGACAAAATACGCTCCCGTGCGGATGCGCCCCTCGTCTTGCTGCACATCTCGCCCTCCAGCACGGAATCACACGGACTCCAAGCATCCGCACGGCGCCGCGCTGGAGACCCGCAGCGCCCTCCGGACCGCGGCGCAACACCGCGGCGCAACGCCCTCCAGCCCGCCCTGCTCGCACCGAGTTGCCCCGGCCCGCCCGGTGCTGGGGCCGTCGGGCACATGCCAATAGGATGGATTGCGGCCCACGGACTGGAAGGTCCATTGAGACGCACAGAGACATGCTAGTACTTAGTACCAGACGTCTTCCTTGGAGGCGCGCGTCCGACCCGAGCAGATAGTATGCCACAACTGTAGTAGACCGTTTCCCGAACGGTGTGCCCAGAAAGCGCACGCCACGACGCATACACTATGAGATTTCTCGGTGCGCGCGTCGCCCCTGGGGGGGCGACACACACACATAGTATTAATATGTGGGGGATGGCGCCGATTGAACTTCAAATCACATTCACGTCGGGTCCAAGTCGGATTTTCGTCGGATATACGTCAAATTCACTTCGGATTCAAGCCAAATACACGTAGGAGCTACGTCGGAACACCACCGCGCGAACGTTGACCCGTAGCTGACCGGGGGGACGTGTAGACCAAATAATACAGTGATTGCGCGCCACGCGAAGCCTCCAGGGATGTCCTCCTATGGAAAGAAGGCCGGGAAACCTGACGCAAGCGCCGCACCGCTTGTCGACGGAGCGCGCCGGCCTGGCATGGAAGCGGTGTCCGCCACAAATCCACGCGTTGCCGTCCCTGTCTGCGGTTCCTCGGACCCTCCCGTTTTTAAGCCTCTAAGAAACAACGATAAGGGGGGACCAGCTCAAAGGGGAAGGGGGGGGACATCGACCTAGAGTCGGTGATGCGTCGCCGATAGGTCGACGATGTGCATCCGATGGCGAACCCGCACAGCCTTGTGCCCCATATCGGGGATCACTGGGCGATTCTGGGGTCGAGGCATCCCTCCTGGGCTTATCCCCCTATAACAGTGCCATTGGTGATGAGCATTAGAGATACGCCTAACCCTGCGTAACTCTTTGAGGGGAAGCTTTGGTGAACATGACCAAAAATAAATTGGTAACAACTCTGATCCATCCATGAAAAGCTGTATAATTTAAAACCGAAGGGTGCGGGTAAAGCGTTGGCCGGGACCCTCCCGCAAAAGCCTGGCAATCTCCGAAAGAACCAGCGCGCGCGACCGTCCGTGTCTACCCCATATCCGCCGTCGTACCTGCGCCGCACCGGCGCGATGGAATGCCATTCAACTGTTTAATACCGTTCCTGTGCAGTTCTAACAGCCTCTCACCCCCGAGCAGAAAGCTAAAAAGCTGCCGCATGCGCCCCCCGTCCCGACGGCCCTGTTCCTCCAACGAAACAACGGAGCCGCGCTCCCGAGGCCAGAATCCCCTGCTGAATGTGATCGGCCCGCGCCTTCGAAGGCAAAATGGCCCAAGATGTTCCCCAGACGGCCCCAGGCGGCTTTGCCAGCGGCCCAATGTGGCCTCTGGACGGCCCACGACGCCCACCAGACGGCCCGAGGGAGCTCCAAAAGAACCCGCACGGCCCCTGGGCGCCTCGGACCCCCTTCCCCCAAGCCCGAGGCGTTCCGATACCTCCTCAACCCAAGCCCTTGGGCCCGTCCGCGCACGAAATGTCACGCATGAGCCCTCATGCCGAAGCAACGGATTGCCGACCAGAGCAACAATTTTCCCACCAGCTGGCAAGGTCCCGAAACCCTTCCTGGGGACCGAAGTCACCAGTTTTTCGCGTTGCGCCCAGCCGCGGCGACAAGGGGGGCCCCCGAACGCCAAAAAGCCTCGAACGTCGACCTTGGAGGCTCGAGGTCAAACCGTTCGTGCAAGGGTGGCGGGGGGGAGGGGGGAAGACGTAGGCTTAGAATGAAGCCGATAAGGTCGAGGAGGAAAAAGGCAAAACGGAGTTTGTTTTGAAGCTGATCCCGCTCAGATGGCAGTGGACACGCGCGAAAACAGCCAAGCGCGGAAGCGCCACATCCAGAGGGGGGTCCCCACGAAAACGGCACCGCGCGCAGCCGCCGCCGAGCGAGCCGAACAACTTCCCAGAAGGCCCTGCGCGGCACGCGAAGCACAATAAGCAATGATTGCACGAAAGACGCGCACACTGACGCACGCAGCACTTAAGCAGGGACCCGCCGCCCTGGCATTCCTGTAGTCCTACCACGAAACGCTCTTAGAACCCAACAGTGTTCTAAAAACAAAAGCGATGCTCTCATATCATAGACCCGATGGGCTGAAACAGGCCAGACCCAGCCAACAACGTTCTAAGAACATATCGTGGAAACCACGAAAGGCTCTTACAACATTACTTTGTAGGCCTATACGCACGCAAGGACGCTTCGCCAATGCTTGAAACACATGTCTCCCGACATCGACCGCGAAAGAGGGAACGAGGCTGAACGCATGGGCAACGCGTTGCACGATGCACTGGCTACACAGCAAGCGAAACAAAACCGCAATGATGTCTCTCGGCCTTTTGCCTCAGACCTATACCTCGTAGGTCTAGGAGTCAGAACGAAAGGTCTGTTTTGCAGATATGTCAGACGAAACCGCCCGCACGTTTAGAGATGTTCGTGGAAACCGTGGACCCAAGCAGGCCACGAATTCATTGTGACATTAGGGTTCGGGGTTATAATCGCCGATCCGGCGTGTGAGTTTTTGAGCGCGTGGGCTTGAATTCGCCCAAGCTTCGCTCTGCAGGGGGGGGGGGGGGCGACGCCATTTCCGACGCCATTCCCGACGCATTCTACGCTCGCCGACGCCAGTCCCGGCCCCAGTCCTGGCCCTGGCCCCGGCTTTCCAGCCCCGGGACCCGGCCCCGGCCCCGGTCCCAGCCTCGGTCCCCGGCCCTGGCCCTGGCTGGGCCCCAACCCCGGCCCCGGTCCCGGCTACGGCTGGGCGCCAGTTCCGGCCCAGGTTCTGACCTGGTCCCGGTCCCGGCTCCCGCTGACCAGCCCCGGCTCCGGGTCCCGGCCATGGCCCCATTGCCGGCCTTGGCGCCGAATCCCGGCCCCCGCAGTTGCCCTGGCCCCGGCCCCGGCCCCAGCCGCGGCCCCAGCCCCGCCCCTGGCCCTGGCCCTGGCCCCAGCCCCAACCCTCCCACCCCTTCCGAAAAGAGTCCCGGGGCAAAATGGAAATGCATTCGGCGAATGTCCGCGCCAGCGCCGGATGGGCTCATCGCACGCAGTAGGTCGCGTCGCCGGATGGACTCTCTTTTTCGCCGGATGGACCCCCTTTGCCGGATGGGCCATGTTTTCTCGCTGAATGGATTTTTTGAGGAGACAAACCATTCGGCGCGCCGGATGAGCTCCAACGTCAGCCGGATGGGCTCTGCATAACCCAGAGAAGCAATTATGACCCCCCCGGCGTTATCATTAGGACCGCACCGTAATTAAACAATTATTTGGGGGGTTTTCGCCGAACGATAAAATTAGCCCCGCGCAAGTGAAAGGAAAATAAATATTTCCTGCGCCCCGCCTCGGATGGCATCCCAATTGGAATTGGAATAAGACTAATAATACGAATAAGAATTATAATAATACCAATAAGAACAAAAATAAGAATAAGGCGAGTGTGACAGGTACTGCTGACACCGTAACTGTTACTGCTACCGTGATGACGATGATGATGCTGACGGCGATGGTTTCGAAGTGGCCTGGGCAGGCAACCGGAACTCCAGCCTGAAGTGCGCTGAGCGAGTCCTCAGCTTGAAACCTGCGGGAACTGCGGCCAGAAGTATTGCGCTGAGGCGCTGAATCTCTGAACTGCGGCCTGAAGATTGCTGAGAGAAACTCAGCACAACGTCTGCCTGACAGGCTACGCTCGCCCTCCCCTCCCTGCCGTCCCCTTTCCCAAGGCGAGTCGGCCGATCCGCCTGGTCGCCGTCGCCGTCGCCATCGCCGTCTCCTCCTCCTTCTCCTCCTCCTCCTAGCCACAGGTGCCAGAATAACGTTTCCAAGGTGCGGGACGGCTATCGTTTCGAAGGAAGGGGGGGGGGGGTGGGGGGGTGTTATGTAATTGCTTCTTCGGGTTAGGCTCTTTCCCGCCAGATGGACTCGAACTTCGCCGGATGGGCTCTGTGAAAAGGGGTCGTCAAATGGACACTTTGGAATCCGAAATGAGTTTTCGGAAAAAAATATCCCGGCGAAGCAACCTAACAGCGATGTGTAGAAACATAGTTGGAAACATTGCCTGTGGTATTCATGTAAGAGTGCCGTTGTAGAATTCTGGTGTTCTCGCAGTCGCATTCGGATTCGCAGTGGCAGTCGCACTGGCAACATCAGCGGCACTCGCAGTGGCACTGCCAGTAGTTGCAGTAGCAATAGCTACACTAGCAGCAACAACAGCAGCAGCAGCAGTAATAGTAACAGTAGTAGTAACAGTAGAAGTAGTAAAGAAGGTAGTAGTGGTAACAGTGAAGTAGTAGTTGTACTGTGTGGAGTGAACGAGTAGGAGTGATGGGAGCAGTGGTAGTAGTAGTAGTAGAAACACTGCTTTAGAAGCTGAGGAGCACCGCTGTTCAATGCAGCAAGGTCAGGAGCACCGCCGCCAGACCGAGAACTATCAGCATGTCCTGACATTAAGGTGCGCAGTCGGCGCTGCGCAGTTCCTTTGAAAGGAAATCTTCGAAAGCAGGGATGTAGCCAAGAAGGCTACAGGGACGATGATGATGATGAAGATGATGAGTCTTGGAAGTCTGGGAAGTGGAAGAGCACGAAGTGGCGTACAGTTGGCTCCCGGCATTCAAAATGTGGCCCGGGAGTGAAATTCTGGGACATGGAAGAACACGAAGTGGCTTACAGTTGGTTCCGGGCATTCAAAATGTGGCCCGGGAATGGTGTTCTGGGAACTCTAAGAGCACGAAGTGGCCTACAGTTGGCTCCGGGCATTCAAAATGTGGCCCGGGAGTTAAGTTTTGGGGAGTCGAAGAGCACGAAGTGGCCTACAATTGGCTCCGGGCATTCAAAATGTGGCCCGGGAATGGAGTTCTGGGAAGTCGAAGAGCACGAAGTGGCCTACGGTTGGTTCCGGGCATTCAAAATGTGGCCCGGGAATAGAGTTCTGGGAGGTCGAAGAGCACGATGTGTGTGACTTTTGCGAAAAACGAATTCGGACCCAGTTCCCCGGATGCCGCCCGAACCCCCCTGTGGAGTCATCTGCTGCTCTCTTTTGACCCCACTAGAAACCTATCAGTCTTCGCTGTTAGGTAACAAAAAGCAATCATGTGTTTGAATACCCTCGCTATAACACAAACAACAAAAAACATCTTTATGCTGGCGCCTCTCCGACGCACCTGGCGCTCGGCGTTCCCGCGTTTTCCTGCAAATCTGCCAATGCGCACGGACTGTCACGTGTGCTTTCTTGTGGTTGTTTTGGTATGCCATTGGCAAACAATGTAGCTCCAAACAAACGTGGAATGAAGTCACGTATTTCCCGAAGGATCAGCGAAAAGATCCCCAAGGATCCCTAGGGCTTCCCCGGGGATCACCCCCACCCCTCGTTCCCCTGGAATCCGCTGAGGACCCCCAAAGGCCCCGAAGGTTTCCCTAGAAACCCGCCCAGGATCCCCAAGGATTTCTAGGGTTTCCCTGGGAGTTCTTTCAAGATTCTGAAGGTTTCCTAAGGAATCCGCGAGGATCTGCAAAGATTCCTAAGACTTCCCTATGGGGGTTCAACCCCCCCCCTCCCCCTTGCGCTGGCGCCGGCGTTGGCGGCGGCCAGCAGCGCCGACGCTGGCGCCGGCGACGGCGGTGACGCAGCGACGATTACCCTCACTACCACCACCGCCACCACTACCACCACCACCACCGCCTCAACCCACCACCACCACCACCAACAACCCACCACACAACCACCACCACCACCACCAGTCACCACCACCACCACCACAACTCACCATCACCACCAACACCACAACCACAAAAACCCACCACCACTACTAGCACCACCAAAATCTACAACACCACCACCACCGCCACAACCACCACCACTACTAGCAGCATAACCCACCGCCACCACCACGAACCACCACACCACCACCACCACCGCCACCACCACCACCAGCACCACCTCCGCAAACCACCGCAACCACCAAAACCCACCACCACCACCACCACAAACCACCACCACACCACCACCAAACCACCACAACCACAACCCACCACCACCACCACCATCACAAACCACCACCACACCACCACCACAAACCACCACCACCACCACCCATCACCACAACCACCACCACCACCGCCATCACAACAAACCACCACACCACCACCACCACAACCACCACCGCGCCACCACCACCACCACCACCACAACCCACCACCACCACCACCACCACCACCGTCGTCCTCGTCGACGCTCCCCGCCGCCGCCGCCCGCCGCCGCAGGCGCTGGCGCCGGCCCAAAAAAGGAAATCGTCCCCACCGCCGCCGCCAGCCGCCGCCGACGCAAGCGCCGGCCCGAGGAGAGGGGAGGCAGGGGAGGAAGGGAGGGGGGGGGGTTCGAAACCACCCCTTCCCCTCCATCCAGGGGGGAGGGTCCGGTTTCCCCCCCCCTCCAAGCGACCACAGAACGCGCTCTTCCCCCTCTAGGAATCCGCCAAAGATCCCTCAGGGCCCTTTGGGTTTCTCAAGGGTGCCGCTCAGAATCCCGGAAGATCCCTGAGGGGGGATCCGCTAAGGGATCCAAGGCTTCCCTGAGGATACAGTGTTCCTGGGGGGCGCGCTGAGGACCCCAAAGGATCCTCAAACTACCCTTAGGGAACAGCGAAACATCTCCACGGATCCCCGGGGTTCCCTTAGAGTTCCGCTAAGGATCCTGAAAGATCCGGAGGTCTCCCCTGAGATCAGCTAGGAATCCTTAAGGATCCCAGAGATTTTCCTAGAGAGAAGGATCCTGATTGTCCGCTGAGGTCCCCTATAGATCCCTGGGGCTTCCTTGGGGATCAGATAAGGACCCCCAAGGATACTGAGGGTTTTCGCAAACATCCGTCCCGCCGACCCCGGCCAACCCGGACCCCGGCCAACCCTGGCCCCGGCCGCGGCCCCGGCCCCGGCTCCAGTCCTGGCCTCGGCCCCGGCCCCGGCCCCAGCCGGCCTCTGACCCCAGCCCCGGGCCCGGGTCCTGGCCTCGGCCCCGGCCCCGCCCTCTTGGCTCCTGGCCTCGGCCCCGGCCCCGCCCTCTTGGCTCCTGGCCCGCTCAGGCCCCGGCCCCTGCCCTACATGGTCCTCCTCCTCCTCCTCCTCCTCCTCCTCCTCCTCCTCCTCCTCCTCCTACTTCTCCTCCTTTCTCCTCCTCCGCCTCCGCCTCCGCCTCCGCCTCCCTCCTCCTCCTCTCCTCCTTCTCCTCCTCCTGGTCCTCCTCCTCCTCCTCCTCCTCCTCCTACTTCTCCTCCTTTCTCCTCCTCCGCCTCCGCCTCCGCCTCCGCCTCCGCCTCCTCCTCCTCCCTCCTCCTCCTCCTCCCTCCTCCGCCTCCTCCTCCTCCTCCTCTGGTCCTCCTCCTCCCTCCTCCTCCTCCTCCTCTCCTCCTCCTCCTCCTCCTCCTCCTCCTCCTCCTCCTCACCACCACCACCACCACCACCACCATCATCATCATCATCATCATCATCATCATCATCAGCATCATCATCATCATCATCATCATCAGCATCATCATCAGCAGCATCAGCATCAACATCAGCATCATCATCATCAGCATCATCATCAGCATCATCATCATCAGCAGCAGCATCAGCAACAGCATTATCAGAATCATCATCACCATCATCAGCATCATCAGCAGCCATCGTCACCATCATCATCATCATCATCATCATCATCATCAGCATCATCAGCAGCAGCAGCATCAGCATCATCATCAGCATCATCATCAGTATCAGCATCATCATCAGCATCAGCATCAGCATCGTCAGCAGCAGCATCAGCATCAGCATCAGCATCAGCAGCAGCAGCAGCATCAGCATCATCATCGTCAGCAGCATCATCCTATGATTCATTGCTCCTCCTCCTCCTCCGCCTCCTCCTCCTCCGCATCAGCATCATCATCACCACCACCACCATCATCAGCATCATCATAATCATCATTAGCAGCAGCCGCAGCAGCATCAGCATCAACATCAGTATCAGCATCGCCATCATCAGCAGCAGCATCATCAGCATCATCATTATCATCAAAATCTTGTCATTATATCATCATCGTCAGAAGCAGCATCATCATCGTCGTCATCCTCGTACTCATCTTCGTCCTCATCCTCGTTCTCATCAACCTCCTCCCTCCTCCCTCCTCATCCTGCTCTTCCTGCTCCTCCTCCTCCTCCTCGTCCTCATCCTCCTCCTCCGCCTCCTCCCCATCATCCTCCCTCCTCCCTCCTCCCTCTTCCCTTCTCCCTTCTCCCTCCTCCCTCCCCCTCCTCCCGTTACTCGTAAGTCGTCCGTTGTCGGCGTCGAGGTCGCCATCGTCGTCGTCGTCGCCGGCGTCGCCGTGTCAACATCTGGAGCGCCTCGGATCGGCGGCACTGGCCGGAGTCTGTTCAAATGTTGCTTAATGAACTGGGCGTTTCTTTCCTTCCCGCTCTCCTACTCCGTCGTCTTCCCGCTGCCGATGCTACGCCAGCTGTTTCGGTACTGCGGCTGCGCCGCCGCTGCTGCTGGCGGCGTGTCCGCTTCGGCACACCCCTCACGCGGGCCGTACCCCATAGGAAGCTCCCTACTGCGGCACTGGCGCGTGCGACCGCATAGCGTTGCCACGTGATCGACGAAACGAAACGGGTCTTACGCAAAGACATAACGACCTCACGAGGTGGCCGCCAGAGCGACACGCTACATTGGAAACGAGGGGGCTTACGTGCGAGCTTACGCGTGTAATTAGCTTATGCTCTCACGTGACGTGCCCCCTAGGGCGCACCGAATATCTATGGCCCTGGTGGCTTCTGTCTGATGATGGGGGGGAAGAGCTGGCCTGATACGTGGGACGCAAAAACTATTGGCAAGTCGGTTTCGCCACAAACCATCAGCTGAAAAAAATTGAGAAGATGCGACGAGGACAGCGAGGACGCCGACGTCGACGTCGACGACGACGACGCGACAACAACGACAACCTCCGCCGATAAAGAGGTCTGTGAAGGTCTCCAGAGGCTAACGAAAGGACCAAGAACGTCCAAAGAAGAAATCTCGAACCTCGATCGTCGACGAGGACGACGACGCCGCCTCCCGGCTTGCCACCGTTGCCAAGCGAGCCCTCCAGCGCCAGCGGCGCGGCAGTTAGCTTCGGCGCCACCGCTGCAGTTGCCAGCGAATCCTGCAGAAGGCGTGTTTTCGGAGGTAGCGAGGCGCGTAAGATCTAGAATCAAAGGTCCCCGGCTGGGATACCCAACGTCTTGAAACAAAAAAACGCAATAGTTGGTCATGTTCTGCCTTCGGGGTCCGCTTTCGGGATCCAGGACCGCCAGATCCGCCCGCCCCCTTGCAGGGCCATCAAGCTGCGGGGGTGAGGTTTCCTGCATCCTGTGCCAGTACCAATCTCCTGCTTACTACTGTAGACTGTTGCTGTCGACACGAGAGGGGGAGCCGAAAACTGCCCTGGCCACCGTCCCCCCTCGGGTTTCCAGAATTCCCCAGAGGCCCCAGGACACCTAAAATTTCTCCGATCCGACGGTAGGACCCGACATGAGAGTCTTCAAAACTAATCCCATCACCCCTCAGGGCGAGAGTGGTTTAGGGCGTTTCCTATTCCGACCCCCTTCTTTCTCTTCGGGGAGGGGTCTTCCTCTCCCCCATACCCCCTCCCCCTGGGTCTGGAGGGGGGTCGCGAGGCGTTAGAGCGTGCAAGGTGGCCTTGGCGAGAAGGCCAAAATCATTGACTTGACCCAGGTCTTCGGCACATCTTGGCCTCCTGGGGGGGCTAATTGAGTACCCTCACTTCTCTGGTCGAACTCCTCCAAGATGGCCCAAAGATGGCTCCCCTCCCAAAGCCCCCAAGAGTGCCACAAAAGGGCCCCAAGAGTGCCACAAAAGGGCCCCAAGAGGCGCCCAGGAGCCCCCGAGAGGCCCCTAAGAGGTCCCCAAGGAGGCTCCCAAGAGACCCCCAAGAGGCCACAAGAGGCTGCCCCGAGGCACCCAAGACGCACCAAGATGCTCCCAGGGCCGCCAAGAGGCCCCCAAGACGCCCCAAGAGGACTCCAATAACTCTCGAGGGACATCCGAAGAGACTCCGAGAGGCATTCAAGAGGCCTCTGGCCTTTCTGCTCTCCCTCTTCCGCCACCTCCTCCTCGTCCTCCTCCTCCTCATCAACTTCTTCCTCCTGCTGCTCATCCTCGTCCTCCGATTCTCCTCCGTCCTCTCCCTCTTGAAGCGTCTAGAATCTGGAAATAATCCTCACCGTCGTCCTTGCGACTGCGGAGGCTCTCTTCCTGTCTCCTCGTCGCCCTTTTCCGTTTCGCCCTCGCGGAGGCCCTCCTTCCGCCACCCATGCTCTGGCTCCTCCTTGTCCTCCTGCATCTTCTCCCCCATCAGCCTCCTCCCCCGTCCCTCTCTCAAGGGCGCGCCGATGTTCCTTGGCGCCATCTCCGCCGCGGCCAGCAGTGACGCGCTCTCCCCCGTGGCCACACCACAAAGCCATTGGGATCTGGACGAGCGCCTCGGATCACTCACATGGCGTGCGGGCCCCACGGGGTGGGGGCGTCCGCTGGAGCTCTCCTCGCGCCGCACACACACAGACACACACACACACACACACACACACACACACACACACACGCACGCACGCACGCACGCACGCACGCACGCACGCACGCACGCACGCACGCACACACACACACACACACGACGACGACCCTCCCGCTCCAGGCATCCTGCCATACTCAAGCCTCAGGAGCCCAAAGGTGACGACAGTTACGGGTTTCCCGATGGCCGCCTCGGACTACTGACTTGAAGTGCGGGTCCCACAGGGAGGCGGGTCCCGCTTGAGACTTCCTGGCGCCTCACTGATAGACGACGCTCCCGCTCTAGATCTCCTCAAGAATCAGGCATCAGGAGCCCAAAGGTGATGTCTAGTACAGGTTTTCCGATGGCCACCTCAGACTACTAACATGCAGCGCGGGCCCCAAAGGGAGGGGGGTCCGGCTCGAGACTTCCCCGCGATTCACTCACAGACGAGGCTCCCGCTCGAGACTCCCTCAAGATTCACGCATCAGGAGCCCGAAAGTGATGACAGCTATAGGTTTTCCGAAAACCGCCTGGCATTACTAACATGAAGTGGAGACCCCATGGGGAGGGGGCGCCCGCTCGATACTTCCACGCAATTCAATCGGAGACGAGGCTGCCGCTTGAGACTTCCTCGCGATTTGGCCCCTTGGGGTGCTGAAGGGGTATGCCTGCTACAGTTTTCCGATGACCGCCTAAGACTTCAAACAAGAAAAGGAACCCCATAGGGAGGGGGCTCCTGCCCGATACTTCCTCACAATCTGGTCACAGACGAGGCTCCCGATGAAGACGGCCCAAGAGGGCTCCTGGAGGGCCTCAAAGAACCCAAGATGACCTCCAAGATGGCCCTAGATGTCTTAATATGGCTCAAGATGCCTCCCAACATGCAACAAAGGGCCTCAAGACCGCCCCAAGACGGCTCCAAGTAGCCGGAGCCTCCCAGGGAAGCCACCATGAGGCCCAACCCCTTCGCCCCCCTCCCAAGAGGCGCCCAGGAGGCCCCCGAGAGGCCCCCAAGAGGTCCCCAAGAGGCTCCCAAGAGACCCCCAGAAGGCCCCAAGAGTCTCCCTCGAGCACACAAGACGCTCCAAGAGGCCCCCAGGACCGCCAAGAGCTCCCAGGGGCCGCCTCGAGGCACACAAGACGGTCCAAATTCCACGAGGCCTCTTGCCTTTCTACTCGTCATCCTCCTCATATTCTTCTTCTTCTTCTTCTTCTTCCTCCTCCTCCTCCCCTCCTCCATTTCATCCTCCTCCTCCTCCCCCTCCTCCTCCTCTTCCTCGTCCGCCGATTCCTCCTCCTCCTCCTCCTCATCCTCCTCATCCCCTCTCCTTCTCCTCCTCCTCCTGCTCCTCCTCCTCCTCCTCCTCCTCCTCCTCCTCGTCCTCCTCCTCCTCCTCCTCCCTGCTCCTCCCTGCTCCCCCACCCTCCCCCTCCCACTCCTTCTTCTCCTCCTCCGATTCCTCCTCCATCCTCCCTCTTTTGGGGTATGACGGCTTCCCAAGCCCGTCACTCCACTGCATGCTTTCTCATTTCCCTCATCAGGGCAACTCGCCTGGGCATCGTTTCTGGAAGGGCTGGTTGGATTACGCGAAGCGTCCAGAAATGCCTGCATTGGGACATGTGCTTGGGGGCGCTTTTCGGGCCCCCCGACATTTCCTGGAGATTCTGCGCTGGGCCAGCAGTCGCGAATCTTCGAAAATACACAGAAAGAATACAAGAAACAAGAAGACAATCCCAACCGCGCGATGGTTCCCAAGATGGCTTCAAGCAGCCCCCAGCCGTTCCAAGAGGGCTTCTAATACACAGCCAACATTAGAGAAGCGCGTTAAGAAGACAGCAACACGTTCACGAATAATAGCCCCGAAAGCTCAATATGTTTTGCGGATTGTCGGCTCCCCTCGCACGACATTCCTAGATGTCTTCAAGACGGCGCCAAGACATCCCAAATCGTATGTATCAAGTTATGATAGAGAGGAGGGCTGGCGGCAAAGAGCGAAGGCCTTACGGATAACGATCCGATATGAAAAACGCCCCGGAGGGGGTTGAGAAGTCTAGTGGACACGTATCCAAGCAACAAGCTCATCCTCTCGGTCTGGGTGGGAACCGAAGATACCTCGTTGCGGATGGTCTGATGCCGCTCAACGCCAAAATCCGCCGTCGATCCATCCCAAGGGACAATCCTGATCATTGCTTAGGGCTGCGTGCAGCTGTGGCGACGAGGGCGGCCCCCAGAGGCCAACAAGAACATCGGGGCCGGGGCCACCAGAGGTTCATGGAGGCCACCTGAAGCCCCCAGGGCCCCCCCTGGGAGGCCAAGCCACAAGCAAAAACGCCCCAAATCCGCGATGCTCATCGACTCGTCGTTGTCGTCGTCGTCGTCGTTTTCGTCGCCGTGGTCGCCACCGTCGTCGCCGAAGTCGTCGGGCGTCGGTCGCCAGTGTCGCCGTCGTCATTGTCACCGTCTTCGGCTTCGCTTTCGTCGGTCATCGGTAGTCGTCGATCTTCGATGATTGACCGTCGTCGTGCTCCACTTCGTCCACGTCTTCGTTGGTCATCAGTCTTCTGTCGTCGTGAAGACCGCCGGTCGTTGGTCGTCGGTCGTCGTCGGCATTGTCTTCGTCGAGCGTCGATAGTCGTCGTTGTCGTCGTCAGCGTCGCAGTCGTCATCGTCCGTCGTCGTCGTCGTCGTCCCCGTTATAATTGCCGTCGCCCTCGCCGACGCCATCGCCGTCGCCGTACCCATCGTCCGTCGTCGTCGTCGTGGTCCGTCGGCCGTCGTCCATCGTCTACGGTCTGTCGTCCGTCGTCCGTCGTCCGTCGTCCTCGTCGCGGTTGATCTCGTCCTCGTCGTCGTCGGTCCATGGCGGTCGTCGTCGTCGTCGTCCGTCCGTCGTCCTCGTCGTCGTCGTCGTCGTCCGTCGTCATCGGCGGCAGCATCGTCGTCGTCGTCGGCCGTCAATCGTCGTAGATTTCGTCATCGTCTTCCGACGTCCGTCGTCCGACGTCCGTCGTCCGTCGTCCATCGTCGTCGTCGTCCGTCGTCGGTCGTCCTCGTCGTCGGTCATCGGTCGTCGGTCGTAGGCCGTCGGAGGTCGTCGGTGGTCGTCGTCGTCGGCCGTCGACGTGTCGACCGTCGTCGTCGTCGACGTGGTCGGTTACCGGTCGTCGGTCGTCGGTCGTCGTCGTCGTCGTCGTCGCCGTGGTCGTCGTCGGCCGTCGATCGTGGCCGTCGGCCGTCGCCAGTCGTCGTCGTCGTCGTCGTCGCTGTCGTCGTGGTCTGTCATCGGTCGTCGCCGTCGTCCTCATCGTCCGTCGTTATCGTCGTCGTGGTCGATCATCGATCGTCGGTCGTCGTCGTCGTGGTTGTCGTCGTCGCCCGTCGTCGTCGTCGACGTCCGTCGTCCGTCGTCCGTCGTCCGTCGTCCGTCCTCGTCGTCGTCGTTGTCGTCGTCGTCGTCGCCGTGGTCGTCGGCCGTCGACCGTGGCCGTCGGCCGTCGTCGTCGTCGTCGTCGTTGTCGTCGTCGTCGTCCGTTGTCGTCGTGGTCGGTCATCAGTCGTCGGTCGTCTGTCGTCGGTCGTCATCGTCGTCGTCTTCGTCGCCCGTCGTCGTCGTCGTCGTCGTCGTGGTCGGCGTCGCCCATCGTCTTCGTCGTCTTCGTCGTCGTCGTCGGCCGTCGATCGTGGCCGTCGGCCGTCGGTCCTCGTCGTCTTCGTGGTCGTCGTTGTCGTCGTCGTCCATCGTCGTCGTCGACGTCCGTCGCCCGTCGTCCGTCGTCGACGTCGTCGGCCGTCGTCGACGGCGACGTTGATGTCGTCATCGTCGTCGTCGTCGCCGTGGTCGTCGTCGGCCGTCGATCGTGGCCGTCGGCCGTCGCCCGTCATCGTCGTCGTGGTTGTCGTCGTCGCCGTGGTCGGTCATCGGTCGTCGTCGTCGTCCGCCGTCGTCGTCGGCCGTCGGCCGTCGTCGTCGTAATCGTCGTCGTCGTGGTCGGTAATCGGTCGTCGGTCGTCGTCGTCGTCGTCGTCGTCGCCGTGGTCGTCGTCGGCCGTCGATCGTGGCCGTCGGCCGTCGCCAGTCGTCGTCGTCGTCGTCGCTGTCGTCGTGGTCTGTCATCGGTCGTCGCCGTCGTCCTCATCGTCCGTCGTCATCGTCGTCGTGGTCGATCATCGATCGCCGGTCGTCGTCGTCGCCGTGGTTGTCGTCGTCGCCCGTCGTCGTCGTCGACGTCCGTCGTCCGTCGCCCGTCGTCCGTCGTCCGTCCTCGTCGTCGTCGTCATCGTCCGTCGTCATCGTCGTCGTCGCCGTGGTCGTCGTCGGCCGTCGACCGTGGCCGTCGGCCGTCGTCGTCGTCGTCGTCGTCGTCGTCGTCGTCGTCCGTTGTCGTCGTGGTCGGTCATCAGTCGTCGGTCGTCTGTCGTCGGTCGTCATCGTCGTCGTCTTCGTCGCCCGTCGTCGTCGTCGTCGTCGTCGTGGTCGGCGTCGCCCATCGTCTTCGTCGTCTTCGTCGTCGTCGTCGGCCGTCGATCGTGGCCGTCGGCCGTCGGTCCTCGTCGTCTTCGTGGTCGTCGTTGTCGTCGTCGTCCATCGTCGTCGTCGACGTCCGTCGCCCGTCGTCCGTCGTCGACGTCGTCGGCCGTCGTCGACGGCGACGTTGATGTCGTCATCGTCGTCGTCGTCGCCGTGGTCGTCGTCGGCCGTCGATCGTGGCCGTCGACCGTCGCCCGTCATCGTCGTCGTGGTTGTCGTCGTCGCCGTGGTCGGTCATCGGTCGTCGTCGTCGTCCGCCGTCGTCGTCGGCCGTCGGCCGTCGTCGTCGTAATCGTCGTCGTCGTGGTCGGTAATCGGTCGTCGGTCGTCGTCGTCGTCGTCGCCGTGGTCGTCGTCGGCCGTCGATCGTGGCCGTCGGCCGTCGGCCGTCGCCAGTCGTCGTCGTCGTCGCTGTCGTCGTGGTCTGTCATCGGTCGTCGCCGTCGTCCTCATCGTCCGTCGTCATCGTCGTCGTGGTCGATCATCGATCGTCGGTCGTCGTCGTCGTCGTGGTTGTCGTCGTCGCCCGTCGTCGTCGTCGACGTCCGTCGTCCGTCGTCCGTCGTCCGTCGTCCGTCCTCGTCGTCGTCGTTGTCGTCGTCGTCGTCGCCGTGGTCGTCGGCCGTCGACCGTGGCCGTCGGCCGTCGTCGTCGTCGTCGTCGTTGTCGTCGTCGTCGTCCGTTGTCGTCGTGGTCGGTCATCAGTCGTCGGTCGTCTGTCGTCGGTCGTCATCGTCGTCGTCTTCGTCGCCCGTCGTCGTCGTCGTCGTCGTGGTCGGCGTCGCCCATCGTCATCGTCGTCTTCGTCGTCGTCGGCCGTCGATCGTGGCCGTCGGCCGTCGGTCCTCGTCGTCTTCGTGGTCGTCGTTGTCGTCGTCGTCCATCGTCGTCGTCGACGTCCGTCGCCCGTCGTCCGTCGTCGACGGCGACGTTGATGTCGTCATCGTCGTCGTCGTCGCCGTGATCGTCGTCGGCCGTCGATCGTGGCCGTCGGCCGTCGCTCGTCATCGTCGTCGTGGTTGTCGTCGTCGCCGTGGTCGGTCATCGGTCGTCGTCGTCGTCCGCCGTCGTCGTCGGCCGTCGGCCGTCGTCGTCGTAATCGTCGTCGTCGTGGTCGGTAATCGGTCGTCGGTCGTCGTCGTCGTCGTCGTCGCCGTGGTCGTCGTCGGCCGTCGATCGTGGCCATCGACCGTCGGCCGTCGGCCGTCGCCCGTCGTCGTCGTCGTCATCGTCGTCGTCGTGACGTCGTGGTCGGCCATCGGTCGTCGGTCGTCGTCGTCATCGCCGTGGTCGTCGTCGGCCGTCGATCGTGGCCGTCGACCGTCGGCCGTCGGCCGTCGGCCGTCGTCGTCGTCGTCATCGTCGTCGTAGTCGGTCATCGGTCGTAGGTCGTCGTCGTAGTCGTCGTCGTCGCCGTGGTCGTCGTCGGCCGTCGACCGTGGCCGTCGACCGTCGGCCGTCGTCGTCGTTGTTGTCGTCGTCATCGTTGTCGTGGTGGTCGGCCATAGGTCGTCGTTGATTGTCGTCGTCTTCGTCGTGGTCGTCGTCGTCGTCCGTTGTCGTCGTCGACGTCTGTCGTCCGTCGTCCGCCGTCCGTCGACGTCGTCGGCATCGTCGTCGTCGACGACGACGTCGATGTCGTCGTCGTCGTCGACGTGGTCGTCGTCGGCCGTCGATCGTGGCCGTCGGCCGTCGGCCGTCGGCCGTCGATTTCGTCGTCGTCGTAGTCGTCGTCGCCGTGGACGGTCATAGGTCGTCGGTCGTCGTCTTCGTCGTCGTCGTCCATCGTCGTCGTCGACGTCCGTGGTCTGTCGCCCGTCGTCCGTTGCCATCGTCGTCGTCGTCGCCGTGGTCGGCGGCCACGTCGACGTCGTCGTCGTCGGCGGCCGTCGATCGTGGCCGTTGGCCGTCGGCCGTCCGCGTCGTCGTCGTCATCGTCGTCGCTGTCGGTCATCGGTCGTCGGCCATCGGTCGTCGTCGTCGTCCATCGTCGTCGCAGACGTCCGTCGTCCGTCGTCCGTCGTCGTCATCATCGTCGACGGCGACGTCGACGTCGTCGTCGTCGTCGCCGTGGTCGTCGTCGGCCGTCGGCCGTCAATCGCTGCCGTCGGCCGTCGGCCGTCGTCGTGGTCGGTTACCCGTCGTCGGTCGTCGACGTCGTCGTCGTCGTCGGCGGCATCGTCGTCGTCGTCGTCCGTCGTGGACGTCGTCGTCATCGTGGTCGTCGTCGTCGTCCATCGTCGTCGTCGACGTCCCTCGTCCGTCGTCCGTCGTGCGTCGTCGACAACGTCGTCGACAACGTAGTCGACGACGTCGTCGTCATCGCCGTGGTCGTCTTCGTCCGTCGATCGTGGCCGTCGGCCGTCGGCCGTCGGCCGTCGTCGTCAACGTCGGGCTCCTCCCGGGGGCGCCCAGCCAGCCCGGCGAGCAGCGACGCGGCCGCGGCGCGGATGGGGACAGACGGCCTCGCGCTGCTGCCGACCGGCGACGCGGGCGGCGACGGCGGCGGTCCGCGACGACGGCGGTCGACGATCGGAGCTGGTCGAGTGTTCCTGGACCACGACTGATGATCGCGTCAGGTCGAGCATGTCCTCCTGCAGGCGAATTTCGGCAGAAAGATAAAGAATAGTCAAAAAATAGTCAACTCTGGGGTCAGAAATAGTCGAAAAATCGTCCCCAGACTGTGTGTTTGACTATTTTGAATTTTCCTCCTGTAGAAGGACAGGCCCGACTAAATGATAGCGGCGATGGACAGCGACGATACCGACGGCGGCGATCGAAGATCGGAGGCGACCACGACGACAATGGAGAGCGACGTTGACGTTGACGGCCCCGCCTTTTCGCAACACTCTGGCGCCCGATGGGGCCCTCTCTTGGCCTCGTGAGGGCTGCCCTGGACGCCACCTGGGCCCCCCAGAAAATAGTAGGACACGTTGGGCCAGGGACATATTTTGCAACACCCTGGACGGCGGCGGCGATCGGCGGTAATCGGCGACGATCAACGATCGACGGCGGCGGCGACGAGAACGGCGATCGACGGCGCTCGGCGGCGGAGACGACTACGGCGACAGCGATGGTGGCAGCGACGGCGGCGGCGATCGGCGACGATCAACGGCGATCGGAGGCGGCGACGAGAATGGCGATCGGCGGAGTTCGCGACGGCGGCGGTCGATAGCGACGATGCCGACGACGGCGATTGACGATCGGAGGCCGCGACGACGCTAGCGGCGATCGACGGCGACGATGCCGACGACGGCGATCGACAATCGGAGAGTGCGACGACGGTAATGGTGCGACAATCGGAGATTGAGGAGATGCCGATCGACGGCGACGATGCCGACAACGGCAATCGAGGATCGGAGGCGGCGACGACGAGAGCAGCGACCGACGGCAACGTTGGCGGCGACAATGTACGGCAGCGATCGAGGGCGACGACAGGCGAGCGGCGACGGCGTCGTCGCCTCGAAGGCTGTTGGACGCTTCTGGAGGTTATCGTCACAACGGCTGGACGCGGCTCACTGGGATGGATCTCAAGAGGGATCCAGGAATCGATTTTAAGCGAATCTTGGTCAGACGATCGACGACGACGACAACGGACGACGACGACGACAACGACGACGACGATGACAATGACGACGACGACGATAGGAACGACGACGACGCGGCGAAAACCATGACACGACGACGACGACGACGACGACAGTGACGACGACGACGTCGACGCGGCGAAAATCATGACGACGATGACGACGACGACGACGACAGCTACGATCAACGACGACGGCGGCGATCGACGACGACAGGCAAGAGCGACCACGGCGGCGATCGACGGCGGCGACGACGACGACGACGACAGCGGCAGCGGCAGCGGCAGCGGCGGCGACGACGGCGGCGGCGGCGGCCGCGGTGCGCACGGGGGCGGCGGGCCTGGTGCCGGGCCGCGTCCAGACCTGCGCGCAAGAGGCCGCCGCCGCCGCGGGCCGAGGCGCGCGCAGAGTTCGGGGGGTCTCACCCTCCGCCTCCTCCTCCGCCGCCTCCTTCTCCCCCTCCCCCTCCTCCGCCTCCTCCTCCTCCTCCTCGTCCTCGTCCTGCTGCTCCTCCTCCTCCTCCTCCTCCTCCTCCTCCTCCTCGTCCTCGTCCTGCTGCGCGCGCCCCCCGGCCTGGGCCAGGGGGCCGGCCACCCGGGGCCAGGGCGCGGCGCGAGAACTCGGCAGGCCTGGGCTGGTCCCAATCGCGCCGTCGGATCGGATCGGGAAGTTGGCCTCCCTCCGAGAGCTGGGCCTGGGCCGTCGCATCGGATCGGATCGGGCCCGTCGGGAAGTTGGCCTGGGCTGGGTCCAATCGCGCCGAATGGGATCCTGCCGGGACTTGGCGGGATACTTTTCGTATGGGAACCCCAGGGGCGGCCCCGCGCGCGCGAACTAGAATATTGTTAGCCAGTCACCGGAGATCTTAGCACGCCCTTGGCCCGTTGGGCCCGCGATCTCTCTCTCTCTCTCAAATTCTCTCTCTCTCTCTCTCTCCCTCTCTGTCGTTGTCTCTCTCTCTCGCTCTCTCTCTCTCTCTCTCTATCTCTCCTCTAGTTGACAGCCTCACCTTCCTGTTCCTTATCCTCCTCCTCCTCCACCTCCTCCTCCTCATCCATCATCATCACCACCACCACTCATCAGCATCATGATAATTATCATCAGCAGCAGCATCATCTTCACCAGCATCGCCATTATCATTAGCAACAGCAGCATCAGCAACATCATCACCACCACCACCATCATCATCATCATCAGCAGCAGCAGCATCAACCTCCGCATCATCATCATCATCATCATCATCATCATCATCATCATCAGCATCAGCATCAGCATCAGCATCATCAGCAGCAGCAGCAGCAGCATCGTCATCATCAGCGTCCTCATCATCAACAACATCATCACCAGCATCGTCATCGTTGTCGTCGTCGTCGTCACCATAACCATCATCATCACCGTCACCACCACCACCACCACCACCATCATCATCATCATCATCATCATCATCATCATCATCATCATCATCATCATCATCATCGTCGTCCTCATCATCATCATCATCAGCAGCAGCAGCATCATCAGCCTCACCACCAGCAGCATCACCAACATCAGCACAATCGTATCAGATCATCATCATCACCATCAGCATCATCATCAACATCATCATTCTCACCACCACCAATATCATCATCAGCAGCAGCATCATCAGCCTCATAATCACCATCACTATCACCACCACCACCATCATCATTAATCATCACCATCACCATCACCATCATCATCAATCATCATCATCAGCAGCAGCACCACCACGATCATCATCATCAACACCACCACAACCACCATCACAACCTCCACCACCACCACCATCATGATCACCAGCATCGCCACCACCATCATGATCATCACCACCACCATCATCATCATCAGCAGCAGCATCATCATCAGCCTCATAATCACCATCACCATCACCATCACCACCACCACCATCATTAATCATCACCACCACCATCATCATTAATCATCCTCATCAGCAGCAGCATCTATTTATCCTGCTCATCCTCCTCCTCCTGTTTGGGCCGCTCGCACCGCAAGTGATGGCTCCATTCTCTGACGGCTGGTTCCTGTTGGTGCCGCACTGGCACGAAAAAGCGCTCGTTCGCATGGCAGCCGCGGGCAACCGACTCATCGAGGACGAACTGGGGTGCACAGTCGCCGCCCACGAGACCGCCCGCGTCGCCAGTTCTGAACGGACTCTTGAGCAGGGACCAACCGCCCCAGCATTCTTATAGGCCTTCACAAAATATTCGTAGAACAAACGGTTGTTCAAATAACCAAACAAGTTTTCTAATTCGCCGACCCAACGGGCCAGGGGCGTGCTAAGATCTCCGGCGACTGGTTAACAATATCCTAGTTCGCGCGCGCGGGGCCGCCCCTGGGGGTCCCCAGACGAAAAGTATCCCAGCAAGTCCCGGCAAGGTCCCGGCAGGATCCCGGGCAGGTCCCGGACAGGTCCCAGCCAGGTCCAGGCTCCCAAGAGCCTTCCAAGGAGCGTTTCAAGTGGCCTCCAAGAGAGCTCAACATGGTCCGAGACGGCACACGAGCGATCCAAAACGCCAAAGATGGCCTCGAGACGGCCCAAAGCGCCTGCAAGACGCCCCAAGAGGCCTCCAAGAGACCTCCCACGACAACCCAGAGGCAGAAATTAGTGACTCCCTATAAATTTTGGAAGTTTTTGGCATTCCCTCCTTGGGAGCTTACCGGCGCTCCAAGACGGCCCAGAGGCTTCCAGGATCGCCCCAACATGACCCAAGCGGCTTCCAAGAGCGCCTCCAATAGCCCTCCGAGAGCGCCCGCAATGGCCCCAGAAGGCCCCTAGACAGCCCCAGAGGCTTCCAAGATGGCCGAAGAGGCTCCCAGGACGGCCCCAAGAGCGGGCCTGGACGAGGGACCCGAACGGACATGTTGAGCTCTAGACGCCGAAAGGTTTCCTGGAAGCCCGACGAAGCCCCTAAGAAGCCCCAAGGGGGCCCCCGAGAGGCCCGAAGAGACCCCCAAGAGGCCCCAAGAGACGTCCCCAGAGGTCCACAGAGCCAAAACTTAGCGATCTCCCCAAGAGGGCCCCTAGACAGCCCCAGAGGCTTACAAGATGGCCGAAGAGGCTCCCAAGACGGCTCCAAGAGCGGGCTGAGACGAGGGACCCGAGAGGACATGTCGAGCTCTAGGCGCAGAGAGGTGACCTGGAGGCTCCAAGAGGCCCCCAAGAAGCTTGCAAGAGGCCCCCGAGAGGCCCCAAGAGACCCCCAAGAGGCCCAAGGGGGGCCCACAGAGGCAGAAATGAGCGGTGTTTCTGTGATCGTCGAAGGTGTTTGCCGTTCTCGCCCTGGGGGCTTACTGGCGCTCCAGGGAGGCCCTAAAAGCTTTCAAGATCGCTCCAACACCGGCCAATGGCCCTCCGAGAGTGCCCACAACGGCCCGAGAGGGCCCCTAGACAGCTCCAGAGGCTTCCAAGATGGCTGAAGAGGCCCCCAAGACGGCTCCAAGAGCGGGCCCGACGAGGGACCCGAACTGACCTGTCGAGCTCGAGGCTCGGGACCTCGAGAAAACCCCTAGAAACTCCCAAGAGGCCCCCGAGAGGGCCCCAAGAGACCCCCAAGAGGAACCGTAGAGGCCCCCGCGACGCCCCAGGAGGCGCAAAAATACCGCCAAGAGGCCCCCGAGAGCCCGCATATCGTCTCACTAACCCTTCCTTTTTGTTCCCCCTCTCCTACTTCTCCCCCCTTTGCGTCAACGACTCTCAATCCTCGAACGAAAACGCTCCGCCAAGAGGCCCCCGAGAGGCCTCCTATCGTCTCACAAACTCTTGAGTATTTCTTCCCTCTCCTCCTTCTCCCCCCTCTGCGTCAGCGACCCTTCCTCCTTGAACGAAGGGCGCCACAATAAATCATCACGACAGGAACCGAGAGGCCTCCTCTTTCTCCTTGCCCTCCCCTCTTCCTCCTTCTCCAAACTCTCCTGTTCCTCCTCCTCTTCCTCCTTCTCTTCCCCTCTTTCCCCTCCTCCCCGTCTCCCCATCTGCTTCAACGAACCTCCAACCCTCCCCCATCTGTTTCAACGAACCTTCATTCCCCAACAAAGAGCGCTACAATAAATCATGAAGACGATACATGTCTTCCCCCTGCTCTGCATCGCTACCATGTCACACCTCAATCCCACAAGCAGCCATGGCAGGGTTCCCGCTTTCTTCTCCTGCTTGTCCTCCTCGTACCCCTCGTCTTCCTGTTCCCCTCTCCTTCTGTCCGGCTCCTCCTCGTCCTCCTCCATTCCTTTTCTTTACAAACAACTTCTCCCGGTCGCACCCCGAGGACAGTTTTTCGGGCGGGATCGGCGTTTCGCCTGTGACTTCCTCACCATTTATGACTCTGAAGCTTAAAAAGTTGGCAACAGCTTCACACATGGAGGGCGGGTAGTTTTCCAAATGTGGCTCTCGTCTTAGCGCGGTGCACATTCATTTCAAACATGTGCAATAGCTTCACGGATTGAGGGCGAGTGGTTTTCAAAATGTGGCCCTCGCCTTAGCGCCGCGCACATTCGTTGTAAAAATGTGCAAGAGCTTCGCAGATTGAGGGCGAGTGTGTTTCAAAATGTGGCTCTCGCCTTAGCGCCGCTTCGTCAACATTTGCAAGAGTTTCGCAGATTGGGGGCGAGTCGGTTTCAAAATGTGGCTCTCGCCTTCGCGCCGCGCACATTCGTTTAAAAAATTGCACGAGCTTTACGGATTGAGGGCGGTTCCATTCATAAATGTGGCTCTCGCCTAAGCGCCGTGCACATTCGTTTAAAAGATTTGCAAAAAGTTCACGGCTTCCCATCATCAACGTACCAGAAATTGTGTTTTGGAAGGATTCAGGATTATCCGGGCGCAGCAGTTGCGTTGATTCTCTGTATTGCAGTCCTACGAATGGCGTTCTGACACGATTCAAGATCGTCAAGACGCAACAGGCAGGTTGATCCATGGCGCTGGAATCCCGAAATCACTGTTTTGGCATGCTTCAGGGTCTTGAAGCGGGTGTCTTCTAACGAGGCAGTTCCATCAATGAAGTTGAACCGCTGTAGGGGACTATGAAGAGGGAGCTTGGAGGGAGGGTTTACTCCAACATCGTTAATGACTCTTTGGTTTACACTGGTCCTACTCCACCGCCTCTCTCCTCCTTCTCCTCCTCCTCCTCATCATTGTCATCCTCATCATCATCATCATCATCAGCATCATCATCATCCGACCCTCCTCCTCCTCCTCGTCCTCCTCCTTCTCCTCCTCCTCATCACAGACATCATCATCATCGTCATCATCATCATCATCACCATCGTCATTATCATCAGCAGCATCATCACTCGACCCTCGTCGTTACCCCTGGTGCCCCCTGACCGTCTCTTCTCGCACATGTTCGTCGTCGTCCTCTGTTGCTTTCGGCCCGCGGGCGCCAGGTGGCCCAAGACAGTCCTGCGCCGGCCGTCGCAGGGGCGGTGGGGTGCACCATGGAGCCACAACCGAGGCGCGTGAAGCAAAGGGGCACCGGGGGAAAGGGGCCCTGGGCCCGAGGGCCGTCCCCCAGGACCAGCTGTTCATCCTCCTGGAGGGTTCCAAAGGGGGGTAGGGGGGAGGGGGTTTTCCAGAGAGCCCCCCAGGGGCCTCGGAGCCTCGTCAAAACAGAGGGTGCGGAGCCCCTGGGGGACCCCTCCTGGAAAACCCCCTTCCCAAAAACCCCCTTTGGAACCCTCCGGATCCTCAGCTGTATTTTGACGGACCCCAGGGCCATGGCAGAGCCCCGGGAGCCCGACAACGACGAGCAAACCACAGGACTCGTTTCCCTCTGGACCCGTCTCCTCCACGGCGACCATACCACTCGCCCCACATCTTTTGGGGTAGCACCGCCACCAACCCCACCACAGAGCGGCGTCTTGCCTCCAGCTCCACGGTCTCCACCGCCGCGCCAGTGATGCGGTAGTTGACCTTCCACCAGCGCGAGGGCTCCCACTGCTCCTCTTCGGTCCTCCTCGTCCTCCTCGTCCTCCTCCTCCTCCTCCTCCTCATCATCATCTGATTCCTCCTCCTCCTCCTCCTCCTCTTCCTCCTCCTCCTCCTCCAACTTGCCCTCTCATCATCCTAGCCGTCTGAGGGAATCAGAAGCATTTGACACGGCGATAGCACACACCCCGCATCGAGCGCTGTTCCTGTCCATGGCTGGGCATGGCCTTTGACGTATGCAGAGCAACGAGCGTGGGGGGGATCGTTTATTTCCAGCGGCGTCGGGACTGACGAATGGAGCGGGTTCGTACGCGAGGGTGGGCATCGGATGGGCCTGTCGATTTGTACTGTGCCCGATGGATGGCTGTGGCATCATGCAAGGACGCTGACTTCGAACTCTCAAAAACGAGCTCGGCGCCTCGGCGTGTCCACCTCGACTTGTGCAACAGTCCGGCATCTGATGAGGAGCAAAGCCTTGCGAAGAACGAGCAGCATTTCGCAGACCAGGGGGGGGCAACGTGGCGCCGCGAGACCACCGCGGCGGACGACAAACAGCACACTTCCACCTACCACGACACGACGCGAGGCACCAAGAGCACCTCGGCGCACAAGAAACATCATAACCTCGCCTCCCGGGACGCGACGCTGGGCGACAAGAACACCTCGGAGTACTACAAGCAGCCGAGCTTGCTCACCAGGATGCGACGCTGGAAAACACGAGCACCTCGGCGCACGAGAAGCAGCCCAACTTTGCTTACCGGGACGTGCCGCTGGGCAACAGGAACAGCTCGGCGCGCAGGAGGCGGCCGAACTTCGTTTACCATGACGCGACGCTTGGCAACAAGAACACCTTCAACGCACGAGAATTGCGGGAACGAGCAGACCCGGCAGAGCCCCACGGAGAAGGGCGATACTCTGGGCACCGAGGACACTGCGGCGCACGAGGAGCAGCAAAAGGGTCTCCCCCGGGCGCACCTCTGGCACTGGGAGACACTGGGCATCAGAGGCTCTGCGGCGCACGAGGAGCCGCAGAAATCTGCTGACCCAAACGAGGCGCCGAACACTCGAACTACCACGCGGCACTACGAGGAGGTGGCCGGCATCGCGGCGCGGGGTAACGCGGACGCCACGGCGAACGAGGAGCAGCAGAGCAACGCCGGCCAGGAGTGCGGCGCTGGGCACGCAGAGGCACGAAGATGGCAGGGGCGCCGCGGCTCACGCACGCCTAATCACGGGACGGCTCGTGCGCGACTGCGAAGGAAACACGCTCACTCCAGGGCGTGCGTCAATCTCGCGAACGACTGCGCGGAGTCACGCCTGCGGGAGGGGTACGTAGTCACGAGATCCTGGCTGCACGACGAACAGCCTGTCCATCATTCGGATGAGAGGCTGTTGTCTGATACTTCACATGAGCAGAATTAGTAGCAGTAAGTTGTTATACGAGCCTCTTTGCAGACGTGGCTATGCCTATCGTGTCTGTCGGAAGCGTTGGGGGAGAGCTTGGTGCGGCACGTTCCGCTGCAAGCAGGTCGCTGTTGTGGAATCATCTTCTTCATTCCTCCGATCTCAGGGAGCTCCATCCCTGAACATCGAGACAGTCTTGTTCCGTGCCTGGTGGGCCCCTTTGGGCCACCTCCCCCCCTCGTGGGCCCCTGTGGGTCCTTGCTCCGTGCCTCTCGCTTTGCTGTTGGAGGTCCCGATTGTGTGCTGGTTTCAAATCAGGAATGCCCCTGACTGTCCTCTAATGGATCAAAGATCGCAGGAACGTGCACTGGAGCTGGCACGACTCCGTCGAGTTACCGTCCTGTCGCCTCGAGGCCTCAGCATCCAGGCACGCAGCTGGCTTGATCAGGCTCGCCGCTCCAGATTGAGCTGGCTTCCAACTCGGTGTCTAGTCCAGTGATGATTTTGAGTTGTAGGGGTGCACGGCGCACTGGAGCTATCCCCTGGAGACAGCGCACGGAGCTTATGATGAAAGACTAGCTCTTATCGTGATTACTCCGCCTCCTGGGCCTGCTCCGCTTCTTCAGCCTCATCATGATCCTCCACTTCCTCCTCCGCCTCCTCATCCTCCTCATCTTCCTCCTTCTCAGCATCATCATCATCATCATCATCATCATTATCAGCATCAGCATCAGCATCAGCATCAGCATCAGCATCAGCATCACCATCGTCGTCAGCAGCTTCATCTTTCATCGGCATCATCATCATCATCATGATCACCATCATCATCATCATCATCATCATCATCATCATCATCATCATCATAATCATCACCATCATCATCAATGTCAGCATCATCATTATCAGCATCAGCATGCTCATAATCAGCAACATCATCAGCACCATCATCAGCATCAGCATCAGCAGCGTCACCATCATCGTCAGCATCATCACCCCCACCAGCATTACCAGCATCACCATCATCATAATCCTCGTCATCATCAACACCATCAACAGCGTCATCATCATCATCATCATCATCATCATCATCATCAGCACCATCATCAATATCATCATCAGCATCATCAGCAGCATCATGTCGTCGTCATCATCAGCATGATTATAGTCAGCATCATCAGCATCAGCATCACAGCATCATCATTATCATAATCATCATCAGCAGCATCGTCATCGGCATGTCACCATCGTCACCATAATCATCATGAGCATGATCATCCTGAGCATGATCATTGCCATCATGATCAGCATAATCCGTATCATCATCAGCATCAACATCATCAGTATCAACGTCATCATCATCAGCAGCAGCATCTTCATAATCAGCATCCGCTTCAGCATCATCATCAGCATCAGCAGCATCACCATAATAATCATCAGCATCATCATCAGCATCATCATCAGCAGCATCGACATCGTCATCGGCATCATCATCATCATCAGCATCATCATCATCATCATCATCATCATCATCATGGGCATGATCATCATGGGCATGAGCATCGCCATCCTGATCATCACCATCAACCACAACATTAGCACCAGCAGTAGCATCATCATCAGCATCATGATCAGTACCACGAGCAGCAACGGCATAATCAGCATCATCAGCAGCAGCATGCGCATCAGCATCAGCGTCAGCATCAGCAGCATCATCAGCATCATCAGCAGCATCATCAGCATATTCAGTTTAGCATCATCATCACCATCACCAGAATTAACCTCATTACCATCGTTAGCGTTACCAACATCATCATCATCATCAGCAGCAGCATCATCATCATCATCATCATCAGCATCCGCATCCGTATCGTCATCATCATCTGCAGCATCATCACCAGCAGCATGAGCATCAGCATCAGCATCAGCATCAGCATCAGCACCAGCATCAGCATCAGCAGCATGAGCAGAATCAGCATCATCACCACCAGCATCATCATTAGCAGCATCAGCGTCATCATCATCATCAGCAGCATCATCAGCGTCTTCGGCATCATCATCAGCGCCACCATCATCATAAATTTCAGCATCATCAGCATCAGCGATATCAGCATCATCATCATCATCAGCAGCAGCAGCATCATGATAATAATGATCATCACCACCACCATCAGCAGCACCACCGTCATCATGCGCATCATCATCACCACCACCAACATCATCCTCATCATCATAAACATCATCAGCATCAGCATCATCAGCATCAAACTCATCGAGCTCATCAATACCATGAGTACCATCATGCCATGAATCCTCCGCTGTGTCCCTGCTCTTTGTGATCCTCCCCCTTCTCCTCCTCCACCTCCTCCTCCTTCTCCTCCTCCTCGTTCTCCTGCTCCTCCTCCTCCTCCTCCTTCGCAACCTGGCCATCCTCTTCATCGTACTGACCCCTCTCTTCCTTCTCGTGCTCATCCTCCGCCCCATCCTCGAATCATCATCGTTCGTGTCCTCCCCATCACCAAAGCGCCGATCATCACAATAAACATAACCGAATGAATTCATCATCAAACAATTATGAACATTACCGAATGCATTATCAACATCAGATGCATTATCAACATGGTCAGCTTTACCAGCATCAACAACATCAGCATCGTCATCAGCAACATCATCAACATCTTGAGCATCTTCAGCAGAATAATCATCACACCGACAATCATCATAAACCGCATCGCCATCATCATTATCATCGCTATCATCATCAGCAGCATCATCATCAGAAACAGCCTCCTCATCATCCTGAGCATAATCATCCTCGTCACCACCACCATCAGCAGCACCACCATCATCATGACCATGATCATCCTCATCACCACCACCACCAACACCTCCACCACATCATCATCACCACCACCACCATCACTACCATCACCAGCACCAACACTATCACTTTTCTCCGCTCCTGCTCCTCTTATTCCTCCTCTCCTCCTCCTCCTCCTCCTCCTCCTCCTCCTCCTCCTCCTCCTTTCCCCAGTGCTAGTCTTCCGTCCCGGCGCGTGTCTAGCGAACGCGGGGCCCGTCGACATCAACGATACACCGCCCGCCGCGACCATCTCGCGACACCCCAGGGGGTCTGGAAATGACCACCCCCCTACGACAAAGCACCGGACTCGTCCGCGACAGTGCCCGTGACCGGGCCCGCCTTCCTGCCCCCCTCCTCCCTGGGCACCCCACGATCCGCGCAGGCGCCGTGCGGGAATTGGCCATTCCTGAGCATTCCCAGGCGACGCAGGCGGGAATCATGACGTGACCGACCCCCTCTCCCCCTCCCCCTCCCTGGTCACGCCCGTCAGCGGCAGGGAAATAAATCTCTGATCGGCGATCTCTGAGCCTGAGGAAATACAGGGCGCTCTGGAGAGCTCGGAAGCGATTTATTGAAGGGGAACTGGGACACACAAATAAATACACACAAATAAGAATATCCCCATATTTTCCCATATTTTGTCTGGGTTTTTGTCTTCCCCACAACTTCCCATATTTTCCTTTATTTTCTGGGAATCGCCGATTAATTGTGTCTGTGTGTTTTTTTCCCTCCTGATTTATCCCGGTCCTGAGCCCGCCCGAAGACCCCTGCCAACCCCGCACAGGCGGGACCACCCAGCCCTGGACCTCGACCCGCAAGGCCCGCCCAGACTGCCAGGCGGCCCGGGCACCCCAGCCTCCCTCCATCTCCTCCTCCTCCTCCTCCTGCTCCTCCTCCTCCTCCTCCTCCTCCCGCCACAAACGCACACGCACACGCACACGCACACGCACACGCACACGCACACGCACACACACACACACACAGGCACGCAGGCACGCAGGCACGCAGGCACGCAGGCAGGGAGGCAGGGAGGCAGGGAGGCAGGGAGGCAGGGAGGCAGGGAGGCAGGGAGGCAGGGAGGCAGGGAGGCAGGGAGGCAGGGAGGCAGGGAGGCAGGGAGGCAGGCAGGCAGGCAGGCAGGCAGGCAGGCAGGCAGGCAGGCAGGCAGGCAGGCAGGCAGGCAGGCAGGCAGGCAGGCACACACACACACACACACACGCATAGACACACATACATCGCATAGACATACATACATACACGTTTTGCGTCGGCGGCTAGGCAGAGTGAATGCGCTGGCGGGAAGAGAATATGTAGGGCATGCAAATGCGAAACAAGCCGCGGTGCACGTGAGGGGGGAGGAGGAAGGCCCAGCGCGGGCGGGAGGGAGTTGACCGGGGCCGGTGGCCAGCAGCAGCGCTGGGGCAGCAGCTGGGAGGGTAGCAGCCAAGGTGGCCGCCAGGGCAAGCGCCCAGAGGGGGGAACGACAGGTCCAGCGCGAGCTGGAGGTGGAAGCAGCACGGCAAGGAGGCAAGGCAGCGAAGGCAGCGAAGGCAGCGGGCAGCTAGAGCAAAGGGAGCCGAGGTCACATGTGACCTGCGAGGCGCCTGGGGAGCGCGACAAGGGCGAGGCAACCCCCAAGCCGTCGGGGAACGACGGTCAGCGGCCCACCAGCCACTGAGAGCGCGGGCGGGCCGGAGGCAGGGCCCTGAACGCCGCTGGGGCAGCGTGGGGCTGTGGGCCGCCCAGCCAGGTCGGCAGGGGAGGAGGGGGCCAGGGCAGGGACCGCCAGGCGCCGAGGTCAGGCATGACCTGTGTGGCGGCCAGGACCGAGATAGCCGGCCCAGAGCGGGAGGTGGGGAGGGGGGAGGCGCAGGGCGGAAGCGGGGGGCGGCAGCGGGGGGCGAATGAGGGAGGGGGAAGCGGGGAGGCGAAAGCGGGAGGAGAACGCGGGAGGCGAAAGCGGGAGGCGAAAGCGGGAGGCGAAAGCGAGAGGAGGAAGCGGGAGGCGAAAGCTGGAGGCGAAAGCGAGAGGCGAAAGCGGGAGGCGAAAGCGGGAGGCGAAAGCGAGAGGCGAAAGCGGAAGGCGAAAGCGGGAGGCGAAAGCGGGAGGCGAAAGTGGATCGCCTCCCACTTTCGGCGGTTGGCGGTTGTCGTGAATGTGTCTCTGTCTTGTCGTGAATGTGTCTTCCCTTGTCGTATTTGGGTCCTGCTTGTCGTGTTTGGGTCCTCGCGCTGCGCTGAGTACCCCCGAGAGGGCCGATGCGGGGTCAACCGAGATGCGGGCGACGGATGCACGCACGCACGCACGCACGCACGCACGCACGCACACACACACACATACACGACTGGACTCGCACCAAACAGGAGAAGTCACACCCTTGACCCTTGAACTCCCTCGATCCTCGAGACCCGCCCCCAGCGGCGGCCTTCATCACGGGCGAGAAGAGGGCCGGCACGATGAGCCAGCCCTCGTGGCGCAGGCTCCGCTCGTAATCCTGCAGCGGGGACTGCCGGGGAACCGCGTCTTGAAAAAATCAGGACATCGCATGTCGGGGTGACGATGACGACGTCGACGACGACGATGATAATGGTGGTGGTGATGGTGGTGATGATGATGATGATGGAAAAGGGAAGAGGGAGGAATGGGAGGAGGAGAGGAGAGGAAGGAGACGCGGGGCGCTGTCTCTTCAAAACGAGGACCCAACACCACTGGATGGTTGAGAAAAATCAGGGCATCGCCCGTCGGGGTCCTCCTGCCCTACCAGAGGCTCCCCAAATGGCCCCGATCGCCGCCGCCGCCGCCCACGTCGCCGCCCTCTCCGTCGTCGCTGGTCTGGAGGTCTCTGTGCGCTTCGGGAGGTTCTCCGTCGCCACGGCCGAGTGCACCTGGGGGAACAGTTAAAGGATGAGCCCAGGGAGGGTCCGAGGTCGTGGGTCCTGCGGCGGGATCCGATCGTCGCCGCCGCCGTCTCCAGAACTCCGACGTCGCGGTCTTCTCGCGCCGATCGAGGTCTGTGGATGCTGTGGGTCCTTCTGGGCCTCCAGAGGGCTCCGGGCACACCCTGAGACCTCCGGGAACCTGCAGGAGAAATCTCTTGGAACCTCTTGAGACCTCAGGAAGCGGAGGTCGTCGTGGACGTCGCCTTCCTCCTGCACCTCCTCCTCCAACCCCTGCCCTGCATGCCATCCCCGCACCCTCATTCTGCTCCTCGCCATATTCTCCCTGCCTTTTCACTTCTTACTTCTCCTCCTCTTCCAATATCAGCCACCGGGCCTTGTGCAGAATAAGGCGTGGAAGAATGCTAAGGTCTGTCTGGTCGGGCTTCGGTTATTTTCTAAGTGCCCCCCCCCCTCCTCGCACCCAGCCGCATGCATCGCCCCCTGATGCCAATATCCCTCACAAATTACGAAAGGTTCGCGCTCCCGAGGGCCCGAAGCCTTCAAGACGGCACAATCTCGCTCTAAGACGGGCCACGTTGGCCACAAGACGGCCCAATACTGTGCCGTGATGAAAGATTGCCCCATTTTGACGGGTCGGAAGAAGTGCACCCTTCGTCCGCAATGCGAGCACACGTCTGTGCCGCGATGACAGATTGCCCCATTTTGACGGGTCGGCAGAAGTGCATCCTGCGTCCGCAATGCGAGCGAACGTCTGTGCCGTGATGACAGGTTGCCCCATTTTGACGGGTCGGCAAAAGTGCACCCTGCGTCCGCAATGTGAACGCAACTCGCTAGTCACCCCGTTAGGGACGTGGAGCCTGGTACAATGTTACGGGGAGGTGCCTCGATTTCGGGGCGGAGTTCGAACCTGGGCTGTCGGGGCGCGGTTCGAACCTGGATTTGGTTCCTTAAATTAAAATTCTATTACGCCAAACGGGATGGCGGTTCGAAGACGGCAAACCGCGTGGGGCATCCGCACAAAATTGGCTCTCAAGACGGTTCGAACTCGGTTCGAAACAATAGAATGCGGTTCGAAACAAAAGCAGAATGAGCGTTTCGCGTGGGACTTCCCTCGCAATACGGCGTTGGACCCAGTTCGAAACAAAAGGATGGCGGTTCGAAAACGGCAAACCGCGCGGGACATCCTCACAAAATCTGCTGTCCTGATGGTTCGAACTCGGTTATGGCGGTTCGAAAACGGCAAACCGCGTGGGACATCCTCACACAAATTCTTGTTCTCACGGTTCCTACTCGGTTCGAAAGAAGGGGATGGCGGCTCGAAAACGGCAAACCGCGTGGGACACCCTCACAAAAATGGTTGTTCTGACGGTTCCACGTCGGTTCGAAACAATAGCATCGATTTCCAAACGGTTGGAAAACGAGCGTAGCCATTACTTCGGCTATGCTAAAAAAGGGCAAAACTTTAATCACGCCCATGTATGGCTTCAAGACGGCCCACGAAGCCGTCGAGGCGTCCCAAGAGAGCCCCAAGTGCTTCCGAAGAGGACCTCGACGGCAATGAACATTGACTTCCCGCTGTTGTGTCAATGTTTGTTGGGTTCTCGCCGTTTCGGGTTTCCGACGCCCCAAGACGGCCCAAGAGGCCACTAGGACAGCACCGAGAAGGCCCACGAGGCCTCCAAAGGGGGCAAGAGGGCTCCAAAACAGCCCAGGAGGCGTCTATGAATGCCCAAAAGGGCCCCAAGACGGCGCAAAGAAGGGCCCTAGAGGGTGAACACGAACCGACAATTCGAGCCTTCTGCCCCAGGAGGGCCCAGTATACCCCAAGAGGGCCAAAAGAGGACCCCTAGAGGCCCCCTAGAGGGCACCGAGAAGCCAAAACCATTCACTTCCATCAGCGTTTTCAATGTGAGTCGGATTCTCGCCCTTTCGAGCTTCCGACGCACCAAGACGGCCCCAAAGGCCCCCAAGACCCCCCCGAGACAGCTCAAGAGGCCCCCAAGAGAGCTCCAAGAGAGTCCAAGATGGCTCCGAGACGGCCCAAGCGCCCATGACTGCCCGAGCGGACCCCAAGACGGTCCCAAGAAGGGACAACGAATGGGAACACGAACCCAGCATTCGAGCATTCTGCCCGAAGAGGTCCCCAGCAGGCCCCCTTGTCTTCTCAAGTAGCTGCCACCCAAAATGCTGCGCTGGCTCGGTGGCGGAATGTCGAGGCAGCTGGATACCTTCCTCCGCCTCTCCCTCCTCCTCTTCCTGCTCCTCCTCCTGCTCCTCCTCCTCCTCGTCTTTCTCCTCACCCATCCTCCTCCTCCTTTTCTGCCTCCTTCTCCTCATCCTTTTCTTTTCCTTCGAAGCGTTATCAATAATCCGCCGGTCCGGCGTGTGAGTTTCTGAGAGCGTGGACTTGAGCTCGCTCAAGCTTCGCTCTGCCGAGGGGGGGGGGACCTCATTTCCGACCTATTTCCGACCTATTTCCGACCTAATTCAGTGCTTCGCCCCACCCCCCCCTCCAGAGCGGACCCCCCCCCTGCAGAGGGCCCCCCCCCCCATCCTGCAGCCCAGCCCCCCCCCCCCTGCAGAGCGGACCCCCCCCTGCAGCCCCCCCCCCCCCTCCCCCCCTCAGAGCGGACCCCCCCTCCCCTCCCCCTGCACCCCCCCCCCCCCCTGCAGAGCAGAGCCCCCCCCCCCTTCCGAAACCTCCCCCCCAGCCCCCCCTTCCCCTGCAGAGCGGACCCCCCCCCCCCCCCCTGCACCCCCCCCCGCTGCAGAGCAGACCCCCCTCCACCCCCTCCCCCTGCAGAGCGACCCCCCCCCCCCTGCAGAGCGGACCCCCCCCCCCCTCAGCCCCCCCCCCCCCCCTGCAGAGCGGCCCCCCCCCGTGCAGCCCCCTGCAGGGCGGACCCCCCCACCTCCCCTGCCCCCCCCCCTTGCAGAGCAGACCCCCCCTCCTGCAGCCCCCCCCCCCTGCAGAGCGGACCCCCCCTCTCCCCTGCAGCCCCTCCCTCTGCCGAGCGGACCCTCCCTGCAGAGCAGACCCGCCCCCCTGCAACCCAGCTCCCCCCCCGTCGTCGTCGTCGTCGTCGTCGTCGTGTCGTCGTCGTCGTCGTCGTCGTCGTCGTCGTCGTCGTCGTCGTCGTCGTCGTCGTCGTCGTCGTCGTCGTCGTCGTCGTCGTCGTCGTCATCGTCGTCGTCGTCGTCGTCGTCGTCGTCGTCGTCGTCGTCGTCGTCGCTCGCGTCGTCGTCGTCATCGCCGTCGTCGTCGTCGTCGTGGTCGTTGTCGTCGTCGCTCTCGTCGTCGTCGTCGTCGACGTATTCGTTTTCGTCGTCGTTTTCCTCTTCCTCGTCGCCGTTCATTTCCACAGGCACCTGGAGCGCCCCGGATCGGCGGCACTGGCCGGAGGCCACTACAATATGAGTAGTATCACTACTTTTAGTACGAGTACCACTATTAACACTATCACCAATACGACTACTCCCCACATGTTTCGTGGGGTTATGGTGTTCTTCCGTGCTGCGTCGCACCCGCGTCTCACTCCTCCCCTCCCCCTTCGTCCTCCCTCACCCACGCGCAACACATGAACGGCATGTACATGAGACACGCGTGTACAGACAGCCCCTCGAATGCACACACTCGCACACGCACACACACACACACACCATACAGCGCCAATGCACGCCTGGCGTGTTCACTGTATCTTACACGCAAGACGTCTGCACAACATACTGGGCACCCACATGAGGCACACGTCCACATCCAGCCACGCTCGGAAAGCGTGGCAAGGGTCGCAGTTTCTTGACACCAGAGGGGGTGCGCAAAGGGTGGTCTCTGAGCGCGATCTCTATACGGTCCAGGCTCGGAAAGTGTGGCAGGGGTGGCACTTTCTCGACGCCAGAGGGGGTGCGCAGCTGGTGGTCTCTGAGCGCGGTGTCTATACGGCCCAGGCTCGGAAAGTGTGGCAGGGGCGGCAGTTTCTTCACACCAGAGAGGAGAGGGTGCGCAGGGGATGGTCTCTGACCGCGGCTTCTATACGGTCCAGACCCGGAAAAGGGTGGCGGGGGTTGCAGTTCTCCACAACCGAGGGGGTCTCGACATCATAAAAGGTGCGAAGGGGTGGTCTCTGAGAACGGTCTCTCTCTCTATACGGTCCAGGCTCGGGAAGTGTGGCAGTCGTGGCACTTTCTCGACACCAGAGGCGGTGCGCAGGGGGTGGTCTCTGAGCGCGGTCTCCATACGGTCCAGGCTCGGAGAAATGCAGCAGGGGCAGCAGCTTCTTGACACTATAGGGAGTGCGCAAGGGGTGGTCCCTGAGCGCGGTCTCTATACGGTCCAGGCTCGGAAAGTGTGACAGGCGTGGCAAATTCTCGACGCGGTCCCTCAGCGCGGTCTCTATACGGCCCAGGCTCGGACAGTGTGACAGGCGTGACAGTTTCTCGAAGCCCTCTGGGTACTCAGGCTCCTAAGGCTTTGATCGGCACCACCAACGGTATCGGCAGGGCAACGGCCACCAGCATCAGTCTCGCATGTTTTATGTCAGCTACCATCACTCCAGACATAATAACAAAAGTATGGGATGTTCCTCGGTAGCGTGAC